GCTGGTGCGAGCGTCGGGGCTTCTAAAACCCAAAAAACAAAAAAACCAAAAGTGCACAAGGTTTCCTTGATTCTCAAACCACCAAAAAACAAAACAAAACAACAAACATACACAGCGTTTCCTTGCACCGAGGGCGCCAAGCACTGTGTATGTTTGGTTTTCTTGTTTTGCAACAAGGAAGAGGAAAGGAAAGGGGGCTTGCAACACCAAACATATAGATTTAAACAAACAAAAATACACAGCGTTTCCTTACTTGCCAAACCAACAAAAAACACAGCGTTTCCTTGCACCGAGGGCACCAAACACTGTGTATGTTTGGTTTTCTTGCTTTGCAACAAGGAAGAAGAAAGGAAAGGAGGATCCAATAGACTCCCTTCGATGTGCTTTCACGACGACGGCGACGCAACACTTGTTCGCCATGAAACAGCATGACACGCGCATGAATCCGTGCTCGATAATAGGTCTGCGAGGTGCGACGCAGCGGGCTAGCGGCTCATCTGGGCTTGCAGAACCCCAAAAAACAAAGAAACCACACGTACACAGCGTTTCCTTGCTTCTCAGACAAAAAAAACCCAAACAACCAAAATACACAGCATTTCCTTGCACCGACGGCGCCATACACAATGCATTTTAGGTTTCCTTGACTTGGGAGACGCAGGGAAGGAGGAGGAGGAGGAGGAGGAGGAGGAGGAGGAGGAGAGGAGGAGGAGGGTGAGGAGAAGGAGGGTGAGGAGCAGGAGGAGGAGGAGGAGGAGATAAGATAAGGAGATAAGGAGATCAGGATGAGGAGAGGAGGACGATGAGAAGGACGACGAAGATGAGGAGGATGCACCCCCCCTCCCCAGTCAGTCGTTTGGGTGCTGGGGGGGGGGGGGGGCAAGCTTATATATGTATGTATTAGTATATACTATATATATATAATATATAATATATTTATATTATATGGAATATATAGATATTTTCAGACATATAGGTATACATATATTTATTTATTGTGTATATATAGAAATATGTTTATACAGACATATACACATTCATACACACATATATATATATACAAAGAGAGACCGAGAGAGAGTGAGAGAGAGGAGAGAGAGAGAGAGAGAGCTCTTGATCCTCTATCCCTGGAGACCGTTTTCTGTGCCCTGGCGATGGCGGGCGTGACCGGGAGGGCGGCAGGTCGCGCCACGATTCGCGCTGGCGCCGTCTGGGAAAGCCTGCGAGGAATGGCGAACTCCCAGGCGGCGCCAGCGCGATTCGTGACGTGACCGAGGGTGGAAAGGGGAGGCGCAGGGCTCGTGTCGTCCTCCGATTCGATTCGATTCGATGTCGATGGATTCCGATTCCGATTCGGTTCGACTTCGGATTCCGATTTGGGCTCCGATTTCTCAACGGAAGCCTACTAGCCTGCCGATCTCCGCCGATTCGACTTTTCCCACTCGGCTGCCGATTTCCGCCGATCCGATTCATGTCGATCGCCAATCCGACTTATCCATTCGATTCTGGGCTCTCCTGAGGGCGCAGGGCTGGTCACCAGAGTGATCGCGACTGATAAGCACATGATCCCTTGCCAAGCGAGCTGCCGATCTGTGGAGCTGCCGGAAGAGCAGGAAGGATGGCTCGCCTGCGAGGAGGGGGTCGTGTGCAGGCCGCGGCGCCGCAAGCGGCCGGCGGATGAACCGGGAGGTGAGCGCCTGGGAGAAGATGAGGATCCCCGCCCTCTCTTCTCGGGGGTTCGTGGCTTGGCATCGCTCGGACGTGTGCATTTTTGCCCGGCGGGGGCCATCGAGGAACATCCTGGATCCATCCGGTAGCAAAGAGCACACAGGAGGCCGGCAAAGGCGCGGGGCATGGACGTCGGAGCGATGGCAGGGTACGCAGAGGGGGGGGGGGTTGTTCCAAAGTGCGGTCAGTGCGGCCTCTCTTCAACACCGGGCTCTCGCCTTCGCGCCGCGCGAGCAGTCGTCTTGCAGAGCTGCAGCAGCCTCAAAGATGAAGACGAAAGGCCACTCCTCCTCCTCCTCCTCCTCTTCCTCCTCCTCCTCCTCCCCCTCCTCCTCCTCCTCCTCCTCCTCCTCCTTCTCCTCCTCCTCCTCCAGCCGGATGCGCACATTTTTCCGCCCTCCACGGGCCGTCTGGAGCGGGCTTTCTCCGGCCCCACCCCTGCCCCTGCCCCCGCTTCTGCGTCGCGCCGATCTTCGGGTGTTGCCCGAGGTCAGGGCCCGTTTCGATCTCCAGGGGGGGAGGGGGAGGGGGAGGGGGAGGGGGAGGAGGAGGGGGAGGGGGAGGAGGAGGAGGAGGAGGAGGAGGAGGAGGAGGAGGAGGAGGAGGAGGAGGAGGAGGAGGAGGACTTCTGTGGGGTTCCCTACGGGGCCACGAGCGGTGTGAATGGTGCGAAGAAATGGGCGTGGTCACGCATGCGGTTCCTGCAGTTGGGACGTTCTGTGAGACTCTCCATGCGGCCACGAAGCGTGCGAGGGTTGTGCCAGATTCTGTCGAGAACGCACGCGGATGCAGCCACTGGGGCTTGAGGTGGAATTTCTTGGGGCATGTGGGCACAGTCACTGGGGCCTGAGTGCATCTCCCTATGGGGCCACGAAGTGTGTGAGGGGTGTGGAGAAGGCATGCGGGCCCAGTCACTGGGGCCTGATGTGGAGCCACCTACGTGGCTACGAAGCGTGTGAGAGGTGCGCCGGAATTGTGTGGACCAGGTATGCGAACCTTGGCAATGGAGCTTTAGGCGGGGTGCCTTATGGGGCTACAAAGCGTTTGCGTGGTGCGCCGAAATGGTGAGGAGAAGGCATGCGGGTCCAGTCACTGGGGCCCCAGGAGGAGTTTCCCATGGGGCCACGAAGAGTGTGAGAGTTGCACCGGAATTGTGTGGACCTGGTATTTACGCGGGGCCCCAGGCGCAGCGCCGTGTGGGGCCACTAAGCGTGTGACGGTTGTGCCGAGATGGGCGGGGGGAACGGCATGTGGAGCTTCCTATGAGGCCACGAAGCGTGTGTGAGGGATTTGCCGACATGGTGTTGACCAGGCATGTGGACCCTGGCACTGGGGCCTTAGGTGGAGCGCCTGATATGACCACGAAGCGTATGAGGGGTGCGCCGAAATGGTGTGGACCAGACATGCGGACCCTGGCGGTGGGGCCTTAGGTGGAGCCCCCCGTGGGGTCACGAAAAGTGTGAGGGGTGCGCCGACATTGTGTGGACCAGGTATGCGGTCCCTGGCACTGGGGCCTCAGGTGGAGCTCACTTTGGGGCAACGAAGCTTGTGAGGGGTACGCCGAAATGACGTGGACCAGGTATGCGGACCCTGGCGGTGGGGCCCTAGGTGGAGCTCCACATGGGCCCACGAAGCGTGTGAAGGGTGTGGCGACATGGACATGCGGAGGGCAGCGGTTGGGATGAGATGATGGAGAAGGGAGGAGGGGGGAGGGGGGAGAGGATGACGCGGGGCGCTGCTGATTCAAAATCAGGACCCAATTCGACACCGCAGGATGGTTGGGATAACAACGATCTGGATCGAAAGCACGGTCCGCGGGAAGGGATTGAGAGTTCGGGAGGCCGACCATAATTGAACAACTCACGACCTCGGAGGTCTTGTTCTCCTCTCTTCGTGTTCTGCTATCCATCCTCATCCAGCGCGTGCTGTCTTTCCCGCTCTCATGCATTTCCCCTCTCATCCTCCGCCTCTTTCTCCATTCTGGTTTTCTGCATCGCTCACTCGCTCAACTCGTGCCTGACAGCCGCGGTCCAGTCCTTTTCAATCCTACATATATATATGTATCCACCCTTGCCTGATCTTGCTGCTGCTCCTTATGCCCTTCACCCATCCCCTTTTCCTTCCCACCCTCTCTCTTCCATCCGCCCCCTCGTCCGCGAGGATGATGAGGGACATGCTGAAAGTTCCCGGGTTCACCCACGTGCTCATCCTGGACGGCGACGCGGTGATGAATCACATGAGGCCTGCCTCCGTGATTGGTGGTTCAAAGATCGGGTCCTGAGGGATGGGGTCCTAAGGACGAGGCGCCTCGAACAACGTGAATCCACCCTCGGATCCCTTCCTATCCTTAGGTCCCCATCCCTCAGGATCCCCATCTTTGAACCACTGAAGTGATCAGCCATGGCCGATCCAAGAGCGAGTGGCGGGTACAGGGGGCAGGGAGATAGAAGCGGAGGATGACGAGGAGAAGGAACAGCAGCATGAGCAGGAGGAGATACGAATGGTGAGCATTATGAAGAAGATCAGGCGTCGAAGCTTGTTTTTCTGAGGCACCCTGTGTTGAGTTGGGTCCTCGTTTTGAATACGCATCGCCCAGCGCCCTCTCCTTTCCTCCCCCCTCCTCCCTCTACTCCCCTGTCTCTGCTCTTTGTGGTTCCTGCTTCGGCACGCCTCTAGCACGTTGCGTGGCCCATAGTGGGCTCCACCTGAGGCCTCAGTGGCCGGGCCCGCGTCTCCGGTCCACGCCATTTCGGCGCACTCTTCACACGTTCCGTGGCCCATAGCGGGTTCGTGGCCCCATGGGGGGCTGCACTTGAGGCCCCAGCGGCTGCTTTCGCATGCCTTCTCGCCTCGGCACCATGTCGGCACACGCCTTACATGACGAACCAACAACACACATACCCATAGGGGGGTCGGAGAGGGCTATGGGTGCGTGTTATCGGATGGGGTCCCCGCTCGAACGGGAGCGTTCCCCAGGGTCCGACAACCCGACAACAAGCACCCAGACCCATAGCCAGTCCTCCTTCCAACGACCCTATGTGTGTGTGTTGTTCGTTGGTTGTTACACGCTTCAGGCCCCCCACAGCGAGCTCCACCTCAGGCTCCAGCGCCAGAGCCCGCCTGCCTGGTCCCGACCGTTTCGGCACCACCACTCACGCGCTCCGTGGCTCCACAGGGGTCGCTCCCTCGGGCTCCAGTGGCTGGGCCCGCACGCCTTCTCCGCGCCATCTCGGCACACCCAGGGAGATCCACCGAAGGCGCCAGTGCCAGGGCCCGCCTGCCTTCTCCACATCATCTCAGCCTACCCCGCGCACGTTGCCTGGCCCTACCAAGGGGGGGGGGCTCCACCTCGAGCCCCGGTGGCCGGGCCAGCGCTCCCGGCCCACACTGTCTCGGCGCACCGCTCACACGCTTCTTGTCACCACCCACCAAACCACCCCAACCCAACCCGAAGGTCCAAAATTATCCTCGATTTCCAGTGGGGGGGGGTTGGGGAACATTGAAAAAACACATGGAACCCGTACCCCCCCCAACCCGAAATTCGGGTCAAATTCGGGTCTTCGGGTTGGGTTGGGGTGGTTTGGTAGGTAGTCATCTTGGCCCCACACAGGGGGCCTCACCGAAGGCCCAAGTGCCAGGCCCCTGCTTCTCCACACCATTGCGGGCGTGCCCCGCGCACGTTCCGTGGCCCCTCCGGGAGCACCGCCCACGGCACACCCTCTCCGCACACGCCTCGCACTTGCCGCGGCGTCCTCGGGAGGTCCACCGGCGGCCCCAGTGTCACGGACCGCATGCCTTCTTTTCGCCATCTCGGGACACCGCTCGCACGTGTCGCGACCGTGGTGGGGGGGAGGGGGGGTTGGGTGAGGTGGCCCACCGAAGACGACACCCACAACTACGGTGCCCACCACTGCATATTGCTGGCCCTTTCGCCAGGTCAATTGTGTGAGCCTCTTATAGTTGCAGACTGTGTATCTGTTGCAGTAAGTTGGGGGGCGCACTCATCCGTAAATGTCTACTGGTTGTCACTCGTAGCGGCAACAGTAGTTGTTTTGAAGTCGGCAGAGGAGGTGGAACGAGGCGGAGTAGTGGGGAGGAGTGTTTGGAGGAGCGGGGGGGGGGAGGAGATGGCCGAGGACGTTCGTGGCCACGATGTTGATGTTGAGGATTGGGATTTTGTGGGTGAGGTTGAGGGTGGGGGTGATGATGATGGGGATGGTTGTGGTTGCAAGGGTGATGCTCGTACTGTGTATGATGATGCCGTTAGTTCTTAACTTTGACATGCAGGGTCATGCTTGTACGATGATGCGGTAGACGGTGTTGATGCAGGAGCCATGGATCATCAGGGCGAGCCGGGATAGAATGATGATTGTGGACACGTGATGCGGTTGATGGAATCGGGCCGCGCATGGCGAGATGAGGATTCTGAAGGCGAGGAGGAGGGAGCGCCACCGAAGGCTCTGGTGACAGGACTCGCATGCGTGGCCACGTCCGTTTTGGCGCACTCCTCGCACTTTTCGTGGCCCCATAGGGGGCTCCACCTACGGCCCAGGACTCGCACGCGTCACCGCGCCCAATTCGGCAGACCCCTCACACGCCTCGTGGCCCCACAGGGACCTCCACTCACAGACGCGCAGATCATCCGTAACAGGTTGCATCCAGATGTGACCCGATGCGGCAGACCTCTGCGACCCCATCAGCGACGTCGCTCCGTTCGTCCCGCGCACGCCCTGGTTTTCTTGCGAGCCACTTCCCTTAGTTTTCTCCCTGTTTTGCGGTACTCCACCTGCGCGTGGTTGGGTCCCTCGCCAGGATAGTTGTTTTCGTGCCGAGGTTTCTATTCTGGAAGCTTCTCAGGCCTGGGGACAACAGCTCCCCCCCGCCGCCAGCTGGATGCCGAGGCAGCTGACAGAGGCGGTCTCGATCGCTTCGCTCTGCTTGCTGGACTCCTGTGGAGCGTTCTCGCCGGGATTTCGAGGCAGATCCAGCAGCCGGCATGAGGGCGCCCGCCTGCTGGCGTTCCGTCAGGCCGAAAAGGGCCACGATGTCAGCAACCCTTTCGCCTCGCTTCGGTGTCACCCCAATATACTTATACTGTATGTGCGTCGTCCCCCCAGGGGCGACGCGCGCACCGAGAAGTCTTGTAGTGTATGCGTCGTGGTGGGCGCTTTCTGGCCACACCGCTCGGGAAACTACATACTACAAGATGGGTATACTATATGTTCGGATCGGACGTGCACATCCAAGGAGAACATATAGTACTAGTATGTCTTTCTGCGTCCCATCGTTCCTCGCCCCTCGAGGCCGAAAAACGCCCAGAGCCGTTGAGTCCCTGCTCCCTGATGCCCTGGGTCCTTCTGCCCCTTACGGCAGGCTCGCGTCGCCTCGCCTGGCGGCGACCCCGCCGCCAGCGTGCAACGTTGCGCGACGCCAGCGACCCAGCATCGGCCCAGCGTTGAATAATCGGACGTTTCACGAAGCGGCCGATCGTTCAAAGTGGAACGATCCCCGCGGTGTCGGGAGCCAACGCCGAAGTCGGCAGCCGTGCCTCGGCCCCTGGCCACATGCCGCCCAGTCGGGGCCAGACGATCGGCTTTGAACGGGCCTGGGTCGACACCCTCTCGGGAAGGCAGGAGCGGGAGGGAGGAGGGAGGGAGGGAGAAAAGGAGTGAGGGAGGGAGGGAGGGAAACGAGGAGCGAGAGGGTGATGTCCGAGTGCCAGGAGCGAGAACGACGAGGGGGGAGAAGGGAGGACAGAGCAGACGGGTTCGGAGCATCGCGCCGCGTCGCCGAGCCTTCGGGGCGACACCCGGGGCGCGACCTGGCCCCTCACTCGGAGGGCGCCCCGGCCACGCACCCGTAGTTACCGGCGCTGGCGGGTCCGCTCATGAACCCCCCAGACTGGCGCTGGAGGGCTGGAGACCCATGCCAAGATCGGGGGAGAAAAAGATACGGATACGTGTTGTCCCCCTTCGTTTTCGGCCTTTCCTGGTCCTCCTGGGGAATCCTCGTTGTCACCGCTGGATTCGCCTCGAAATTCTGGTCAGAACGCACCCCAAGAGAGGTCTGGGGACAACGCGTATCCGTATCTTTCCGCCCCCCAACAAGAAACACCCTGCTCGCCTCCAGGGTGCCCGGGTTTCTTGGGTTTCGAAGGTTCTGCGATGGGAAGCGTGACGTCCCCACACCAAAAACCAATGGACGTCCTGGGGTCTCAGGGTTGGGTTTCTTGGGGAAGGTTTCTTGTGCACGGGCCCCCACTGTATGCACCAATCTTCGGCCCAAGGCCAGCGAGGATCGGTGCAGGCGTGGAGGTGGCGCCCCCTCCTGCCTCTCTGGCCCCCTGCAGCCCCCCCCCACTTTGGGGCGTCGCCACGCCATGCTATGCCGTGCTACGCGTTGATCTTCGGCATCATGCTATGCCATGTAATGCTGTGCCATGCTACGACATCCGACTGTGCGAATAGAGAGGAGGTCTTTGCCATGGCAAGGGATGGGAGGGAGGGGTAGGACGTCAGATCTGACGCGAGCGCACCTGGCTTGAGCCCCAGCCGGAGGCGGGACACCATGGCCGAGATGGCGCGGCTGCTGGAGCAGGAGAGCACCCCGTCCAGGTCGAGGCAGATCTTGCTCATCAACGAGGACCGTCGTCGTCGGCGGCGGCGGCGGCGTCGTCGTCGCAACCCCCACAGGCGGGATTAGGGTCGCCGTGCACTCAGCCAGTCGTCGTCGTCGTCGTCGTCGTCGTCGTCGTCGTCGTCGTCGTCGATTTCGTCGCTTGATCTCATCGTCGTGGCAGGAGGGGGCATTCAGAGGTTGGCTTCTTGTCGCGGGCGGGTCCTCTCGTCTCCCCCCAGAAATCCTGTCCCCCCAACACAAACAATGGCCGCGCTCATCACCGAACATTTTAAGGCTCGAGGGAGGAGTTGGGAAGAGGAGGAGGAGGAGGAGGAGGAGGAGGAGGAGGAGGAGGAGGAGGAGGAGGAGGAGGAGGAGGAGGAGGAGGAGGGGAGGAGGGGATGTGGAGAAGGAGGAGAGGAGGGGAGGAGGAGGAGGAGGCGGAGGAGGAGGAGGAGGATGAAAAGGAGGAGGAGGAGGAGGAGGAGGAGAGGAAGAAAAGAGAAGAAGGAGGAGGAGGAGAGGAGGAGGAAAAGGAAAGGAGGAGGAGGAGGGGAAGAAGGAGGAGGAGGAGGAGGACCGACGATGGATGATCGTTGATCGATAGAGGGGGGATGGCGGATGACGGTTCGAGGACCATGGGAGCAGGGAGGGGCGAGTCTCATCGAGGATCTCAGAGATCCCGGCGTTGCATTTTTTATGCACTGGGCGATTTCGCCCTGGTTTCGGGCCTCTGAGCCCCCACGGAGCAACCAGGCTCGAGACATGTTGAGCAAGAGCGGGTCCATGTCTCCAATCGTTGTGTGTTCACGTCGTTGCGTTGTTTTCGTGACGTAGGGTCTCATGACTGGGGTTTGGTTGTTCTGCTTCTGTGTGCCTCTGTGTGCCCCCCTGGGGCCTTCTCGTGGCCACTGCTGGATGCGCTTCAAGATTTGGTGCCAGAACGTCCCCTGGATCGATGATCGACGGTCGAAGTTTCGATGCTTCTGGCATCTCAGCGGACTTCCCAGAGGCTTCTCGTGGCCACTCGCCAGACCCGCCCCGACGCGCGGGGCCAGACCGCACTCGAGGGCAGGTTTGGGCCATCGGCGAGGACCGCCAGAGGGTGAGGAACCAAGAGCCCTGGCGACTCGAGGATCGTGGCCTTTTTGGGGGGGCTTCTCGAGGAGGAGGAGGAGGAGGAGGAGGAGGAGGAGGAGGAGGAGGAGGAGGAGGAGGGCCATCGGCGAGGACCGCCAGAGGGTGAGGAACCCAGAGACCTGGCGACTCGAGGATCGTGGCTTTTTTGGACGGGGCTTCTCGAGGCTCGACGGTCGGACAGCAGATGCGACCGCGCAAGGGGGGGACTGCGAGCACTCGGCCACGCGCAGAGGGGTGTGGCGGGGGAGCGGGGAGGGCTTCCTAGAACCACCCCTGCTACCTAGAAGGCGCGGGCCTTCTCTACAGATGGAAGGCCGGCGCCTTCTCAGGAGCAGCCTCCTTCCAAGAAGCCCTCCCCCCTCCCTCCGCCCCCTCTGTGCGCGCCGCCAAGGCACTCCCGCGTGCGGCCCGGTCTCGACCCCGCCGCGGGGGCGCGCTCCTCGAGGCTGCCGACGGCCTCCGCCGCCGGGCGGGGAGCCACGGCAGCCGTCTGCGCGGGCTGGCTCGCTTGCTCCCCCTCTCGGCCGCTCCTCCCCTCTCAACCGCCCCTGAGGGGCCCGCCGCTCCCTCCCTTCGGGCGGCGGGCGAGGGGTCTTGGGACCCTTTTGGGCTGCCTGGAAGCCCTCTTGGGGGTGCCCTGGGGCCATCTTGGCGCGATCTTGGGAGCCCTGGGGCCGTCTTGGAGCGTGGAGACTCCGAAAAGGCGGGAACGCTGAAACCCTTCAACAACTTATGGGAAATCTATGATTTTGGACTCTCAGGGCCCTTCTTGGAGGCCTCTTGGAGCCCTCTTGGGCCGTCTTCTGGCCCTGTGGGGCCGTCGGAATGCCGCATGGCGACCTCTTGGACCGTCTGGGGGCGTCTCGGACCATCTTGGACCGTCTTGGAGCCCTCACAAGCCATCCTGGAGCCCACCAGGGCCGGCTGGGGACGGTTTCGGGCCATTGGATCCAGAGAAGGCCTTCTCTGAAGGCGGCGGGTCTTCTCAGGAGCCCTCGCGCCTTGTGAGAGGTTCTCTGTCTTCGGGGAAGGCTCAGAAAACTTCTCAGAAGGCCGGGGGACTTCCGAGCCTTCTGAGAAAGCCTGCCCCTTCTCACTTCCCCCCCTCGCTCGCCGCCGCTCCCTTGGAGGAGAGGGCCGGGTCCAGATTCGAGGCCCGCCCGCGAGGACTACCGCGGGGGCGACGGCCCCGACGGGAAGGGGACCGGGCTCAACACTGGGATGATGTTTGCGAAGAATACGGACTTCACCCGGCAGGCCCAGTTGGGAAGGGGGGGACGGAGGGGTGAGGGAGGAGAGAGGCGTGACGGAGCCTTCAAAGCGCAAGGTGAGGACAGGGGTGGATAGATGGATGGATGGATGAAGGGAGGGAGTAATTATATGGAGGAGGAGAAGGAGGAGGAGGAGGAGGAGGGAGCAGGATGAGGAATAGGTGGAGCATGGAATGGGCGGAGGAGTGGGAGGAGGAGGAAGAGGAGGAGGAAGAGGAGGAGGAGGAGGAGGAGGAGGAGGAGGAAGGGGAGGAGGAGGAGGAGGAGGCGCAGGATGATGCTGTTGTTTTTGCTGTTGTTGTCGTTGCTGCTCTTGTTGTTGTGTTGTTGTTGTGTTGTTGTTGTTGTTGAACATTATTAATTCTAAAGAATAATTATTGTTGGGCCCCCTGGTGCACGGCCCCCCTGCGCCGCCTAGGCCGCAGCTACATTTTCATCATTTTCGTGAGGAAGCCTCAGGTAATACGATGTCATCAAGATCCGGTTGTTTTGTTGTAATCCGTTTCCCTTGCAAAAAACACTATAAAATGACATTTCTTGTTCTAATATAATCAAATTTCAAGAATCCCTTGCAAAAAATAAGGTAAAGTGGACATTCGCGCGCGCAAGACGAAATCCTTCCAAAACCTTAGTGTTCGCAGCGATTTTAACATAAAAACATCAAAAAACCAATGGTTTTTCAACAAAAAAATGTCAAAATCTCATCCCGCGCGCTCTTGCGGATTCGTAGGAAACCCAACACTTTTTAAACATTTCTGTCAAACGGGCTTTTGCGAGCAACTTTTTCGAACTTCTGCGACAACGGTTGCGCACCTGCCAGGGCCATCATCCCTGTCAAATAATACCATGCGGGACACATTCGTTTTTTCTTCGCGCGCGCACGCCGAAATCTCCAAAAACCATTGGGCTTCTTAAGAATTTTAGCACCGCGCATCATAAAATCACACGAATCGCACCGTAGGTCCTCGAAAAACACCTGCACGACTTTTCAAAATTTCTACCCGCGCGCGCTGTCCTAACAACTTCTGTGGGTGTGTACTCCACGCCAGTGTAGTAGCCACGGTCGTCCGCAGGCCACGAAGTGAAGTGTCCGAACGTCATAGGGCGGGAAGCTGGGTGTGGGTGGTGGCGAAGAGTCGTGTGGATATTTGGGAGAGCTTGCACTGCCCCCCCACAAAGTGGGGGTATTGGCTGGCGTCGCATGAAAACCCTGGCACTGGTGAGAACACTGAGCGTTCGGGTAAAGTGATTGTTGTTGTTGTTGTTGCTGTTGTTGTTGAAACATTACTTACTTGTAAGATTTCTAAAGAATAATTGTTGTTGGGACCCCTGGT